TAGATTATCTAGAATAATTGTTGATAAAACATGAAGAAGAAAAGAAGAAATTAAGAACAGAAATAGAAGAATGGCAAATTAAAAATTGTAATATTTAAATTGTATCATAAATATATAGAAAGCAATTTTGAACTTAAATAATAGATTGAAGTTTAATATTAATAGATGTACGAATAATTTTCTACTCAATCTTTACAATAGAAATAACCTTAAATTATAGAAGAACATAAATAAGAGCCATAAAATACAGATTTATTAGAATTAGTTGAACCAAAGGAAGAAGAAATAGAAAGATTAAGATTATAATGTATAAAAGTATGTGAAGAAATGAGAAGATTACAAGAAGATAATGATGATCTTAGCACTGCTTTAGATGCAGAAAAATAACATAAAGAGTAATTAAGACAATAATTTGAATAATAAATAGTATAATTTTAATAAGAGATATCTGATTTAGAAAATAAAATAAAAAATATATAAAATGAAGGATAAACAAATTCTTAAAAATTAGAAGATAAAATAAGAAATTAAAAAGATTTAGAATAAAATATATCTGAATTAACAAATAAAATTCATGAATTAGATAGTAAATTATTATAAGAAAAAATTAAAGTTGATTAAAAAAATAAAGATTGTATTAGATTGGAAGATTAAATTAATGAATTAAAAAATTAGATTGAATAAATGTCAAATTAAATAAATATATAAAAAAGTAAATTGTAATTATTAGAGACAAAAAGATAGAAAGATAAGGTTACAATTAATGAATTAAAAAATAATATTGCATTATCATAGAATAATATTGAATTAATATAATTTTAACAAAAAAATGAATTATAAAATTTGAATTTGCAAATTAATGAATTATAACTAAAAAGCAATTTATATGATTAACTTAAAGTATAATATGATTAATTACAAAATTAATTGATGGATAAAAATGTTAAAGTTTAATAATTATTTCATTAAATTTCAGATATGGAATAATAGATAGAATAAAAGAATAAGTATAAAATTAAATTAATTAAAGATAGTAATAAAATAAAGATGAAATACAAATATAAAAGGATATTGAAAGAGAAAATTTAATTTAACATCTCACACTTAAAAGAGAGAATGCAAGAGTAGAAATTGAGTAATTAAATGATAAAATAATATCTTTAATGAAATTAGTGGATTCTATCAAAAGTAAAGCATCATAAAATAATGATATTTAATAAATTATTAAGCATAATTCAGATATACTCAACAAATCAGAAATGCTATAAAAAAGTAATAGAAGGATATAATTATTTCCAACACTTCATAAATGTTTAACTGAATTAAGAAAATTGGAAGATAAATGTTATAAATTATATATATAGACTATGATATCTGATTTTTAGAATAAAGATTCAACAATTTAAATTGAAAGATATTTAAATGATATTGGAAGAAGATCTTAAGAAATTATAGATCTTTTAGATGAAATGGGTTTGAAATGAAATAATATATTATTAACAATTATTTGTAGATTTATATTATTTTATTGAGTGATTTATGAAATTAGTCAGATTTCTTATGAAACTCAAAAATGAGTAGGTGATTGTAGAATTAAAGAATGGCACAGTAGTTTTAGGCACAATAACTGGAGTAGATGTAAGAATGAATACTCATTTGAGCAAAGTGAAATTGACATTAAAAGGAAAGAATCCTGTAGGATTAGATTAATTGACAATAAGAGGTTTAGAAAAAGATAATTAATATGAATAGGAAATAATATAAGATATTTCCATCTATCCGAGAATTTATAAATAGACAATCTATTGGTGGATGAATCAATATCTAAATCTAAGAAGGTGAAAGCAGGAATGGAAAAGAATGATCCAAATTTTAAGAGAAAAAAGAAGAATAAGGTAACTCGTTTACCAAGAAGATGAATAAGGATTGTTATTTATTTAATAGTAAAATAATCAAGTTATTGTTTATATTTGTAAATTAATATTATAAAAAATAAAATAAAAAGTTGGATTTGTTAATTCTTTTTTTATTATTCTTTGATTGCAATGTTTGAATTTTATGAATAAAAATATTTATTTAATTTTAAATATATAAATGTAACAAGTAGTATAACAGTCTTTTTTGAAAAAAGATTATCATATGAATACCAATAATAATTTTATTTTCATACAAATAAATTGTCATATAAACTATTATATATTATGTGTCTCTATAGGTTATATTTTTAAAGCAACTATTACAAAAGTATTATCAGTCGAAGTAGTGGCAGTAGTTGAAGATCCAAGTTTTGTTGGCAAAATCTCTTCTTTGCTTGCAACTGAAGTAGTATAATGCATATAATGAGTAATTAAATTTAAGTACTTACTTACCAATTTAAATGCAAGAATTATTAATATAATCATCAATAGTTAATGGAACAGGCATGATTAGACAAGAAGAAAAATGAAGTAAAACAGAAGTAGCTATGATTTTATTTGCAGAAAATGTGGCATAATTTATGAAAAGGAAAGAGATATATATCAAGCAACTATGAATTCCCTTGATTTGAGTTTTGTAATGGAGATAGAAGGAACTGAAGTAGCTAGAGAAAGTGCTTCGATTATTTTATTAGATGACAATTTTAATTCAATTGTAAAAGCTGTATTATGGGTAAGGAACATATATGATTCAATAAAGAAATTTTTAGAATTTTAATTGACAGTGAATTTAGTTGCTGTAGCATTGACACTTATATCTTCTGTTTTAAAAAAATAAGAAGTTTTAGAACCAATATGAATGCTTTGGGTTAATTTGATAATGGATACATTTGCATCATTAGCCATTAGCCACTGAAACTCCAACTCCAAAGTTATTATAGAGAAAACCTTACAATAGAAATGAATAAATGATATCTTCGAAGATGTTTAAACATATTATCAAATGATTATAATGTTAACGCTTTTATTCTCTGCACAAAATTTTGTTCCAGAGTTTAAGGGATAAGTAGATGAATCTTAAGATTATATAGGTAATTTATAATTAAAATATTCAAATACTGACTTTGATGAATCTATTAAACTTCATATTTGTCCTAATCATTAAGATTATTGTAATCTTATTTCTTTCAGTACAGATTATTATATAAATGGATCTGAAAATTCTGAAACCTTTTATAAAGAGACTTATATTCCTTTGAGATAGTTTACTGTTATCTTCAATACTTTTGTAATGATGCAATTGTTTAATTTTATAAATGCTAGAAGAATTAGAGATGAACACGATATCTTTTAGGGTATATTAACTAATATTTTATTCCCTATTATTGTCTTTGGTATCCTTACTTTATAAATAATTATCGTTACTTTTGGAGGAATAGTATTCCACTGCTATTCATTTTATGGGCTTCGTATTGAATAGTGGTATTTACTAATAATTATATTGAGGTTAATTTATATTATATTTGGTGTTGGAGGTTTAGTTGTAAGATTATTACTTAGACTAATTCCAGATCCAAAACTTTAATATTTTAATAAATTAAATGAAAAGCATAAATTAAAAAATTTAATATCTCCATCAAATACTTTAAACAATTAAAATTATCAGATTTAATTTCTTAGTCCAGAATCAGAAATTGATAACCTCAATAATTCAATTTAAGAGCATCAAATATGATTAAATAAATCAATTATAAATTATAATCCTCTTAATTATTGCATATAATTCTAATTATAAAATTATGATGTCAGAAGTGAATGAAAGAAAAATATTAACAATTACAAAGAATGATAATGTTTTAGATTTAGTTAAGATAAAAGTTAGATTAGATGAACATTTTTATATATTTTCTCGTTTTATGATAAGCAGAATGTTAACTTTATCAAGAATAAAGAAATTGGATGCAATATAAATAGCTAAAGATATAAAAAAATAATTAATAGATAGGAATTCACTTGAGATTAATTCAAATGAATTAGAAGCTATTATATTTTAGACAATGAATAAATTTGGATATTAGAATAACATCTAAAAATATTAAATGGTTTCAAAGTAATAAATCAAAATAATTATAGTTTTTATCGACACAGAACTCCTATGATTATTATCATTTTTGGTGCCCCAAGTATAGGAAAATCTCTATTAGCAAATAACTTAGCAGAAAGACTTAATATTTCTAATGTTTTATAAACTGACATTGTAGAAATGGTCATGAGAAGTATAAATCCAGAATAATTCAATTATGATTAAAATGAAGATTTTATTACTAAATTTAAGAAAGTAACATAATTAACATTAATTAAGAGAATTGCAGATTGATTAGAAGAGGTGTTTCAACAGATATTTCTAAATGTTTATCTGAAGGCAAAGCAGTAATTATTGAAGGTAGTGCAGCAATGCCAGAATATTATTTAGAAGCTATTGATAAATAAGATCCTTAAGATGATGAATAATAATTATAATTAATTACAAGTTTCACATAAAATGATATTAAACTAAAGAAACCTTAAAGAAAAGATTTATTACTATTTAATTAATAGATAAAATTAAATACTTAATTTAAAATTATCTTTCCTTAACCTGATTAAGATTTAGAAGATGATTAACAGATTTAAAAACATTTGAAATTATGTAAAGATTTAAATAAAATTGTATAATTATTTATTCAATTAGGATTAATCACATTCAATGATTTTAGGTTTCTTACCTATATTATCTAGAAATGATCATTTATATAATATAGAAAACAATACAAGTAAAAAGATACCAAAAGACTTAATAGAGGAAAAACTTAATTAATATTAATCTATTTAAAATGAATTATTAAAATAAAGAAGTAAATGTATTTTATTACCTATTAATTTACATAATTTAGAAGAAACCTTGGTAATAAATATTTAAATTATACTAGGACACTATGCATGATATTATATTATAAAAAATATTAGATCAATCAATTTGACTTTATGTGTGAATTTATATATCTATATCAAATATAAAAAGTTATAATATAAAAAAATACATATTCATTCGAATTTAGAAATTGCTAAATCTTCCTAACTATCTTCTTATTTTATTTATAATCCATTCATTGAATTGAAACTATCATCAGTTATTTTGCTTTTAATTTCTGGAACATCAATTTACTCTTCTATATCATTTACAGTTTGATTTGGACTACAATTTTATTCTATTTATTAACTACTTAAGTAAAATTATTCATTTGTATTACCTTATTATAATCTATTATTTTAAGATGATAATCCTAAGGGTCTAGTAAAAGTGCTTGAAAACTTACCATATTTTGTTTAATATTCAGAATTATCACTTTCATAATATAAATCTTTAATTCCTTAACTAACTTATGAATATTTATAACCTAATTCATTATCATCAAAGAGTTCATGAGAAAAATGACTGCCATTTTAAAATTCTTAAGTATGTCTCAGAAAACTTTAAACAGCTTTTTTTTATAACTAAGTTTAAGTTGTATTTTTAGTTGAATTAGATTTTGAATATACTGGAGGTTTATTTATATTAACTTCTTCTATTACTTATAAACCAGTTGCTAATTTAATAGTTTTTTCAAGTAAACATTCATGAGAAAGCTACTTTGTAAGATTTCCACTAATTTATGTTAATTTTTTAGATCTATTTGATGAAATCTAAGATAATTATTCTTTTTAATTTGATCCTTATATTAAAATTGGTTAAGATTATAATTATTATTATTATGATATACTTTTAGTTTCATTTTGTTTTTTCTGATTTGTTAATTCTTTTTAATATTGTTATAATACTTGTATTTTTTTTGAGTTTTTATTATAAGACAAAGTAGTAGATTTGGTTTTCATACTTTAATTAGCATTTTTTGGTAATTCTTAAAAGTTTAAGTTTTTGTATTTGATGTAATTTATTTTATGATCTGATTCAGTTTAAGTTAATTTCTCTTAAGAATTAGAAATAGTAGATAAACGTCTCTATTATTAAGAACCCAATTAATTCTTTCTTAATTCTGTCTTCTCTGATTAAGCTCTTATACTATTAGGTAACAATTCTAATATTCTCTTCTCACATATCTTTTAAATTAAACATTATCCATCACTATTTTACTAAATTAGAATACTTAATGTTATTAGTTTGATTACCTTCATAGATTTTCTTTAATCTACAAAGAGAATGAATACTTAACATTCTAAATTAATGTTCTGGTTCCTTAAAGAAACTCTCAATATCAAATGATAGACTAATCCATTTATTTGTTAATATAAAAGCACTTGAGATTTTTATTTCATCTGATTTTTTAATATATGTTTGCTATAAATTGGGACTTACTATAATCCTACAATACTTAAATGTATAAATTTAAAAATTACTTCTTATTTATTCTGAAGTTCAAGTATCAATTTTAGCTTTTCAATCAAGTATATTTGAATGTATAATTTGGAACCTTTAATATATACATCATCAGAGTTATGGTAGGTGAATAAATTAGAAGGTCCGACTTTTAGAACAAAACCTCTATATGAATATTAATTTATACTTTTCATTGTTTTATCAAACATAACATTTTCACATTATTGAGACTTAAGATCTATATATAAAGATGCAACATTACCTTTACAATCATATAAAATATTTTCTTGATTAATTTTTGGAAGGTGAGTCATAACTACAACTGTAAATATTATATTTATTTAATCATAAAACTAATAATCAAAAAAAGGATTAGCAACATTAGAATTTTTAATAATTCACCAAACTCTAAATAGTTAAGAATAACACATTCAAAGTGATTTACATAGGTATTCCAATAATTTGATGATACTTCTATATTACATAAACTTAATTAGGAAAACTAGTAATTTTTTATATAATTTAAATGTAAAAAATCTATAATTAGTATTTATAGCTTTGATTTATAATTTTTAATATAATTATGTAATAAAATCTTCATTTATAATTGTACAATACTTAAGTATTTGTAGAAATCAAACATTACAATAATTATTGGATGGAATAAATAATAGATTTTGGATATCCATTTATCAAATAAAATATTAAAAAAAGTAAATAAACTTTTGATTATTATTTATATGAAATAGTGAATGTAGTTTATGATTTTTTGTTAAGTTCTACATTTCAATTTTAATGAATTCTTCTTTTGTCTAAAATTGTTTTTGTTTATTAATAATTTTTATATTATAATTAACATAAAAATGGATAACTCTGAAACAAAAGAAATCTAAGAAAAATAATTTATATGCATTGATCCAAAGTGTGATTAATCAAATAGATTATTCAAATCAAAAAATGAAAATCATCCTCATAAATCTCATGATCATTAATTATACTCTGAATTCCAAAAATTAATTCGTGCACAATTTCCATAATAGATTAGAGAATAAATAAATCAATAATTCAGCAAAGATGAATTAATCAAAGCAATCTAAACTAGATCAGTATAAATGCATGAGTCAGTCAAAATTTTTGAAGAAAATCTAATAAAGTATATGTAACTCATTATGAATCTTTAGAACTATCGAAGCCTATGATATTTTAGGTGCTGATAAAGTTTCTATTAATCAAGCTTTAAGTTAATTAAATGAACAAAATCCTCCATAACAACTTAATATTTAAGGATTAATGCATGTACTAAAATTCAATAAATTGGGTCCCTAAAAGGTTTTGGAAAAATGGAAAAGAGAAAATGAAATAATCCTCAAAGAACTTAGTACATAAGCAGATACAGCCTTAAAAACTTTAGGGAATGTAACAATTGCAAGTTATATGCATATTTAACATTTATAAAGTCCTTTGATTTTATAAAAGTAAATAATTAAACTATTAATAGAATGCACTTTGCTTGGAGTTAAAGTTATAAAGCAAGTTCCGTAACAATTAGAGAAGATGCAGCTTATGAGAAGGGAAATTCTATGGGATTAGTGTGTATTTAATAGATTTTGGAAAAAGATTAAGTTTAGAGTATCACAATAGATGTTAAAGAAAGAGCTGGAGTATAATTCAATATTAATATATAGAATCTTTATATAGGAGTTGTAGATATGAATGAAAGAAAATAAAGAGGTAGAAAGGCATTCAGTTTCCATGATTGGAATGAATCAGGACATGGATTATATTTAATATATCATGGTGGATGTATAAGAATATTTAAAAAAATTAGATGTTTTTAGTTCAAATGATTAATCTATTAATACTAAGAAAGCAGGCTTTACATTTGATTAAAATGATAAGATAATCCTTACCTGGAATGGTCCTGAACATTCTGTCACTATTCTTAAAGTTGGAAGTAGTAATGTAATAATAAAAATGGATTATAATAGTAATTTACTTTTAAAGTCAATCCTGATGGACAATACCATTTTGCAGCAGGTTTGTTCAAATGTGAAATAAGATTGGTTGAATGATCCATTATTTTCTAATAATTAGATAAATATGAAAAAATATTTTTTTTATAAATTCTATCCAAATATTGTTATGTCTTTATTTATTAAAGAATTTTTTTTAATTTAAATGCAATCCTTATATTTATTAATATAATATATGAAATCTAAAGGTAAATCAAATAAGAGTAAACAATAATAAGTTGACTTTTATACTAAAAAGGATATACTTTAAAGAATTAAAGTAACTGAAAATATTACTGAAATACTTGAATATACTACTAATTAAGATAATGAAATTAGACTTGCTGCAACATCTCAATTATGTCCATGTAAAGTTTAAGAAGATGTTCCTGAATTTTGGGATAGAGTTTTTGAATTAGCAGATGATCCTGATGCTAAAATAAGAGCAAGAGTTTTACATATTATTTGTGATGGATCACCTAATAGATTGTAAAATGAAGTGATGGATGCTCTTTATAAATTTAATAGAGATTCTGATTAAGAAATAAGAAGATAAGCACATAAAGTAATTGCAAAAGCATAAAAAGGTACTTGGAATGTTTTATGAATACTAAAAATTTAAATTTATAAAAATCAAAATTAATTATATTATTTGCTTATAGTTCTTTATGTATCTTCAAATACTTTGCAATTATTATTTGAATACTCCTTTCTTTTTGTATTAGAATGATATTAATGTTCATAAGAATTATCATTTTCTTATTCTTGTTCATTATTTTCAATTTTAAATTATTATTATTATGGATAATTTATTGATAATCTATTTGATTGATAAAGACTCTTATTATAATATGGTTCAATAGGTTAAATGGTTAATGCTCTATTCATTTTTTTTATAGGATTTATTTTATTTGAAGGAAATAATGCTTCTTCTAATGACTATTATGTAATTTGTTATGTTTCACAATATTATTAATTTATTTATTGATTAATATTTTAACCTTCAAGTAATTTATCTATTTAAGATTATTATTTTATATTAATTTTTTTTAATTCTTTATTTTCATTTTTAAATTGAATCAAATCTCCATGTAATTAATTTAATATTCCACCATCATTTATTGAATTAGATTAGGTTTATAATTTATCTATTTCTTGTTTCAATCTTTCAATCTCTTAACATTTAATCTCAAAGCGGTGATTTAAATCTAATCTTATTAATTTTTCTTCTTTTAATTCTTTATGTGTTTTTATAAGATCATTTTCTAATTCAATAATTTATTGTTCTTTAAGTTGTTTATATTAATGAAATTTTTATTTTTCTAATCTTAATTCTTCCTCTTTTCCTTATTCATCTAATGTACTCAATTGATTTAATTAATTTCCACTTCTCTACAATTTCTCTATTTCTTTTTGTAAATGCTAAATCTCTAAATTAGCCATCTTTTAAGCTTCTGACATTCTATCTAATTCTTAAATAAGAATATTTATTCTCTGTAAACAACCCTTATGTTTTTAATCAGTAAGCAATGAATCAGTTCTAGGAACATTTAATGTGTTCCCTTAGGATTTAATTCTATCTTTTTCGATTATAGAGCCTCTTTAAGAATATAAATTAAACATAAATAAATTTAATTTCTAAATAAGTATACTATTTATTAATTAGTAGTATATATTTATATATAAATTTATAAGAAAATCAATTTTATTCTGATTGATTATTCAAAAATATTCACATACTTTAATAATATCTTATTTAATCTTCATAAATAGCTTATAATTTTGATAATTGTTTATTAAATAAAGTAATTTCAAAGTCTTTACTATTTTGACCTTATTATATAAATTCTATAGATAATATATATATTGTAATTAAGTGGATTATGGAGATTTACGTAATATCAAATTTTAATTATTTTATTAATTGTTTTTAAAATGGCTGAAGAGTACGATGAAGAATTTGGAGAGGTGCAATATTATAAAAAATAGGTAGCTTGGATTAGTGATTGGTGATTTAAACATTCCATCAAGGGCTTCTGATTTACCTCCTCAATTTAAGGATCTTTTAGTTCCTAATAAAGTCTAATATGTATTTTGCACAGGAAATGTTGGGAATAGAGAAACTACAGATTGGTTGAAGACATTATCTGGAAATACTCATTTTGTAAAAGGTGATTTCGATGAAGCAAAAGATATTCCTGAAACAAAAATCATATAGATTGGCTCATGGAAATTGGCTTTAGTACATGGTCATCAAGTAAAAATGAAAATTAATATTATAGATAGTTCCTGCTGGAGATGATGAGTCTTTATATGCATTTTTGAAAGAGATGGAAGCTGATGTGCTCATTACAGGTTATACAGGTGTTGCTAAAGTTTCAGCTGTAGAGAAAAAATATATTATTAATCCTGGATCTGTTACTGGAGGTTTTAATGGATAATAAACGTAATTGTAATTGATTATTTAGATCTATTCCATCCTTCTTAATATTGGAATTTAAAAAGGAAAAAATTTAAGTTTTTATTTACACTCTAGATGGAGAAGTTAAAATAGATAAACAAGAATTGCCATTATAGAAATGAATAAAATAAAATTTAGTATCATTAATATTGTTATGAAAGCCAATAATCTTGCCCTTTAAAAATGCAAGCTCTCTCTCTTAAGACATCTAAGGCATCCCAAAAATCTTAGTCAGCAATATCAGGATTTCTAGATTCAAATTCATACTAGGATTGTCTATAATAAAAAATTTTGTCTTGTGAATTTTCTAATTACTACTACCAATTTTAAAATAGTCTCTAAACTTCCTTTTATTTGATTCTGTATTATTTAAAATAATTATAAATAGCTAAAGGCATCCCAAATATTAACATGATTATGATAAGGTAGAATACCAAACTAAGGCCTTTTTCATTTGAGATCATAAAACAATAAAAATTATTAATATATTTATGCAATTTAATAATAACACTTTGATGTATAGAGATATTGTGATATTATAAATTAGAAGAAAAGAATCAGAAATATTATCAAATTTAAATACAATTATTTGTAATTAGTACTCTCTTTGTTTATTTGATAAGAATTATTGATAATAATTAAATAAAAATAAATTAATAATTAGAATTTTGATATAACTCCCAAGGTTTCTGATAAAAAAATGAAATATAATAATTAAAATATAATAAGAATTCAGCATTAATTATTATTATCCACAAAAATAGCTTCACCTTTAGCAATTATTGTAAGAGCTTTAATAAAGAACTTTTTATCTATAAGTACTAATTCTGCATTCAAATCAGTTTTAGATTATAATTTATTTTAAAGTATTGCATTATTTAATCTATTTAATCTTAAAAATAAATTGTCTAATTTAAGATTTATTCTTCCTGGTTATTCAGTTTCAAAATATTTCCCTCTACATTCTATTATAATTTCACCACATTATATTGTGGATTTTGAATATACTTTTCCATCAATTATTTATAATTTTAGCATATCAGAATCACAAATGATATAATGTTCTGGAATAGGTTTTTATTTTTGCTATTCCCAATAATCAAAAAAGTTTTCTCCTTTATATGCCTTCATTTGATCATAAAATGATTTCCAATAAGAAAATGAATAATCAAAAAATAACTCTTCACCTGCTTTAACATTCTTTGATGCCACCAAAAATGCTTTATCATGTTTTATTGATAATTCAACATTATGTTTTAAATGTTCATGAATAGGAAAAACACCGAAATTTAAGCTTTACTCTTCCATAGGTGTTAAAAGACCAAATCTTACAATATCATTAAATCTAGATGATAATGAACGACCAATAACTGAATATTTTTCATTTATTTAAAGCATTCTATCTTCAAGCATAAAACATTATGCCCAAGAGTATTTTGCATTAATTACTAATATATTAATGTAATTTACTTTTTCCTCTATATTCTACTAGAATTTATCCTTTTGTAAGATCATTTTTTGCAAATACACCTAATCCAGAATTTGGTATTGTAGATGGTTTAGTAAATAATTACAAATAATCACTTTTCATTATTTTAATATATGATAATTATGAGAGTAATGTTATTAAAAAGTAATAAAAATCAAAAATATTAATAATCTGCAAAAACCATAAATGACAATCTTTAGTCTTGTTTTTTATGTTTTAATTACTAAAGTTTTGTAAAAAGACTAAAATTCAATTTATTAGTTTAATTCCTAAAAATAACACTACTCTATTTTTTTTTTGTTGAATTTGCTCTTTAAAAACTATTTGCTCTTGAAGATTTATTTTAATTATTAAAATCTTCAGAGCATTTATTTTCTTAAAGTTAATTTTCATTAATTGAACAATTATGAAAGTTATTAACATCCATCAATTAAAGTGAAGCTCTTTTTTTACTTTAAACTTTAGATTTAGAGAGATTGGTTTAATTAAAATCTTAATTTCTTTCAGCAGACTAAGCACAAGATTTCAGTTCTGTTTAATATAGTTTTTTTAATCTTTAATATGAATTTTAAGAGTTATGAGAACAGATTAGACTCTTTGATAAACAAACTTATTCAACTTCACCAGAGATTCTATCACTTAAAGAATTTTATTTTGATCTATCACTAATATAAGACTTAAGCCTGTTTATTCTTGAATATAAACTTAATCTTGTCTTGTATTCATCTTCAATTTTATTTTACTTTGATAATTAATTATTATCTTATCCTAGTTCATCTGAGTCCCTAAAAGTTTCAGCCATTGTTTATCTTCTAGATACTCTCAAATTAGAATTAAAAAATTATGTTTTTTTAATTATTTCTTTCTCAAATGTTTCAGTCATATCATAACATCTAGGATATACATAAGGTTTTAGACTCATTTTCCTTTTTTATAATTTACCTTTACTAGAGTTCATTTATATTAATTAATCTCAATTATAATAAAATTTATGTTAACAATAATTTTATATATGAGTAATCAAACAGCAAAATTTTAAGTTATCAAAGATGTTTAAAATAGATTAAACAAAATATTCATAAGAAATAAAAACAATATTAAAAGCAGAAATTACAATTGTATAAAATACGTATATGATTTAGAAATCATTATTCAATTTCTTTAAGTATTTTGTCTCCTTCATCTAAAGCTTTTTTCATGTTCTCCTTAAATTTATTAAGAAAGGTTTTAAAACTCTAAATTACCGATTGAAATTATGATTATCCCCTTTTTGTCTTTGCTTTGAATTGTTTCTATATCTTTAATCCTTCAGATATTTATTATTTATGTTTTTTAGCTGCTGTAAATTTTTTCTTGATCTTCTTCATTATAGTATTTGCTTTAGCCATTTTTGCTTTTGAAGATCCAATCATAATAATATCTGGACTTGAATCAGATTTTCTTTCTTCTGTAATTTGTTTATTTGAGTTTGGAGCTTTTTTTTTTTATTTTGGCGGTCTTCCTCTTTTTATTTTTGTACAAACACGAGTTTAAGGTTAACTTATAAGTTGTTTTTTATTTTCTGTATAATCATTATCACTATCAATATTGGATGATGTTAGTAGATCTATCTCTAAGTCTTCAGATATCATATATTAATAAATTGGCTATAATACATATATTGTATTTAAAGTAGAAAGACAAAAAAGCCTGTAAAAAAATTGGTTAATTATAATTATTAGCAAATGATGTGTTGAATACTCTTATAAAATATTTATATAAACTAAATTGCACATTCAATTTATCTATAAATTTCAATCATATTATCAATACAAGATTATATATACTTATACTTCTTATTAATAACTATAAGATTTTCTTAATGGAACAATTATTGATATATTTTAAATTTAAAGTGTTCATTTTAGTTGAATTTATAATAAAAAAATTCAAATGAACAATAATCGAAGAAGATAATCTCACTCTGCCGAAAGAGTTAATTAACAGTCTTCAATAAAAGTTTAATCAGAATAAAAGCCTCCTTTTCTTTTAGATCTATAAAATGAAATGGAGTATATAGAAGACATTTTGATTTTGATGGCGCGAATAAATCGAACTCAATTTTAAGAACCTCAATAATTGAAGCATGCCCTTAAAACATAAAACTCAGTATATTTAAGTATTAAGATACTCTACAATCACTAGACATTTTATAACTTATTATGAATGTAATTGATCCTTACTTAGAAATCAAAAGTTTTTCTGATGAAAAATTTTAGTTATTATTAAAGAGACTTGGTTACCCTTGTAAACATATGTCAAAAACAAGATTTATGAGCTTAGGATCTTCACATACTTATCTATAATCGCTTCATATTTTATCATGGCTTTGTAGATAAGCTTAACAAATCATATAAATAAATGAACGAATAGAAAATGGCTAATATTAACCGATTGAGATAGAAAATGAATCATTTTCAAATAAAATAAAAAAGAAATTAGCAGAGTATCTAGTTTACCTACTAAATTAGATATTTACAAGATGGTTATATAGGTACAATTGATGACTCAGCCTTGGAGAAATGCTATAGAGATGCAAAATAAAAATTGACACTTGAGTTAATGTAGTTGTAAAAAGATATATCCAAGTTGACTTGTGAATTGAATGTAATTAAAACATAAGAGCCAAATTTACCTGAAATAGAAGAATAATATAAAAATTTAGATGCTGAATTAATGTAAGTAACTTAAGAAACATAAGAAAATTAATAAATTTTAGAATCAACTAGATAAGAAATTAATTAAAATATGAATAAATATTTAGAAGTTGATAATGAAATTATAAAGGTACATAAATTAATAGAATCAAAAAGATAATATATAGCCTAATAACCAATTAAAATTGATAAAGCTAAAGAGATGGAAGCTAAAGATTATTAATTAACAATTTAATCTTAATAATTATTAAATGAATTATAAAAATATTAAAAAGAAATTGATAAAGCAAGATAAGAAAAAACAGAAATGCTTTGTAAAATATCAAATATAATTTAAATGTTAAATTCAGGAAAAGTCAAATTTGATAAAGATTATGAAACTTTTGAAAAAAACCTTTATTCATATTAATAAAAATTAGAATAAAATAATGGAATTTAAATAGGTGAAGATGAAAATTTATTGGATATGGAATTAGATGCATAATTTGAATAAAAACTTGCTAATGAATAAATAGATTATAAAAGTAGAAAGAGTTTAGTTGCTTATGATTTAATCTAAAAATAAGATACTGATTCTATACTAAAATTATTATTGCCAAATAAAGAATAAATTCTCTAAGATCTTAATTTATAATTATAAGATATTTTAAATAAACTTTCTATTAGTAAAAGATAAGCTTTAGAAATGAAAAATGAATTAAATTAAAAATTAAAGTAATTAGAAGATATAGAATGTGCTAAAAAAATGATTATTTAAGAGATTAGTTAATTAAATGATTCTACAGAAGAACTTAAAGTGTTAAAATAAATATATTTAGAACATCAAGAAAAATAATAAATATTACTTAAAGAAATGGAATAAAAGAAATTAGAAATCAAATTTATTGTTGATAGAAAGAATTTAGATGTTATTGAAATTGATAGATTAAAAAAATAAAATTAAGAAAATTAAGAAGTTATATTTTGTATGCAACAATAAGCAGAAATAATTGAAGAAAAAAATACATAATTATAATAACAATTTAAAGATTGGGTTAAAGATAACTTAGATCAATTTTTGTCTTTGATTTAAGAAGTGAAAATTTGATAAATTAAAATATTAAATTAATCAAATTATTTAAGTTTTGTTTATTTTTGTTTATTTAAATCAAATTAATAATGTATTTATAAATGTTTTTAATATTTATTAAATGAATAATTCTAAGACTAAATACTAATAATCATAATATTCATCATTATATTTTTCTTAGGATAATTAGAATTATTTATAATTTAATTATCATTAATTCTCTTGTAATTTATAGTAATTTTAATATGTTAGAATTATTATTAGAATTCATTAAATTTATAAACAATCTATAAATTAAATTTAAATCATTATAATTTAATCTATAAGTATATATATAAATATAAGGTTTTAATTAAAAACATATAATGGCCTTTGATATATTTAATAATTAATATAAATACATTAAAAACTAATAAATTTCAAAGTATCTAGGTAATTTTCTTAAATTATTTGATTAATATTTTCAATTTATTTCAGTTAATGTTTTAAAAAATTATAGGCTTGTTATAAAAATCAAAATTACTCTCTTCTAAATAAAAATTAAATACAACACAGAGATTGAAATATAAAAATAATCATATGATTTTTTGAACAAAAAAAATAGAATAATCTAATAAATATAATATTAATTTAAATAATTTTATGTAAATTTGATCTTATCTTATAAATAACAATTATATATAATGATGTATCAATTGTTTTGTTTTTATATCTTGATTTTATTATAAAAATATAGTTTTAAAGATGGATTTAAGATCCTATTTAAATTTTAAAGTAGATTAAATTTATTAAATAGCTTGAAAAATCAAAATAATAATCTATAAATATCAGAAGTGCATCTCAAATTATTTTTACTTATATATATTAGTAATATTACAGATTATACTATGTTATACTGTATAATTAATATTTATTATAATTATTTGTTAATATGAGTGTCTCTGAAAATTCGTAATAAATATATGAAGAACTTATGGTAATGATCTTAATATTCTATTTTAGGATAAAATCAAAAGTAATTCAGAAATAAAAGAGAAATTTGATAGTAGAACTTAAAGTGGATTATTAGATAAAGATTATGCTCATGAAGTCTTGATAGATTGGAGCGATTTACTAAATTATGATCTTAGTGATGCTATAACTTATTTTGATCTTGATAATCCTGATATTCCTCCTGAAGAGATCAGATAGCACTTAGATTTTGACAGTTTCATAAATCTAGTTGATAAATGGTTATAGAAGCAATTATTATAAACATCTCCAAAATAAAAACAAAGTACAAACTAAGATCAGTATTGGTTTAAGAGTGAACCTGGAACATTGAATACAGAACAAAGTGATTTAAAGCATTAAGAATAATTAATAAAAGCAATTTTTGAGAGTTAAGAAAGTAAGACAAAAAAGGTATTTAATGAATATGCAATGATGAATGATTAAAATGATACAATAAGTAAATAAGATTTTCCTCTTTTATTAAAAAATTTGTTGTATCAACATAATGCATCAATTTATGAAAAAGGAGGTTAAGAGGATTATTTTATGAGAAGTAATTCATATGGTAATTTAAATAACTTTTTGAAAGATGACTAAATTAATTATTAATAATTTAAAGAAGCAGCAATATAATTTATAAAAGGAAATCAAGATTTAATTCTTTTAGATAATGAATAAATCAATAAAAAAAAAGAAAAATAATAACCTTAAGTTCAACCTAATTTAGAAGAAGAACTTTTATAATAAATTGATAAATATCAATAGATTTTATAAACAACTGAACCTGAAATTGAGAAGTAGGTTCTTAGAAATATGATAACCACTTTAGTCCGTTAATTAGATTTAATAAGAGATAACACTATGAAATTAGATGAAACATAAATTAATTCATCAATTAAACCTAAAGCAAATTTATAGGTCTCTTTTTCAGGTATAGTTAGACCTGAAAAAAGAACAAAAACAAAAGAAGAAATTGAAATTGAAAAAAGAGACCATTAAATATTGGAAATTTTTCTATTTTTTGCTAAATAATAATATGTCAATGGAGTTGCTTATGAATTTGATAGATACTCAAAAGAAGCTTAAAGTTTAAGTTTAGGTATGTTCTTATATTTTTGTAAATGTTTTAATTTGATTGAAACTCATGTAAGAAAACCAAATGAAGAAAATTTATTAGAAAGAAAAAAGAGAGGAGAAGATGTAAATATTACTAGATTGAATTAAACAATAATAAATAAAAGTGTATAAGAAGAGGAGAAATAAGTAGAATAAGTTTCAACAATTATATCTCCAAAACAAAAACCTCCAACTGTTCCAGTTGATATTCAAAAAGTTGAAAATTTACCAAGAAGAAATAAATATTCTCATGTCCCTTCTAAATTTGAGTAAAATTCTATTTCTATATCATAGATGGTGGAATGATGAATTAAAATTTGATAAATACTACAATCCAAACCAAAATCCCTTACCTCAACAAATCTTAGATGATATGAAATATTTAACTAAAGATGAAATCAAAAGTTTATTTAAAAGAAGTGCTTTTGGAAAAGATGTATACAAAATTAATTTAAATAGCTCGATTTTGAAGAATTTAAATGCCTCTTAGGATTTATGGCAAATCTTATGTTTAAATAAAATGGAGAAAGACATCCTCATGCCTATTAATTGATATTAAGATTAATGTATATTGATTATCCAGAAGAATATAGAAAAAGATTAATTCCTATTAAAATACCATTTAATTGTAAAGAAAAAATTGGTTTCAGATAATTACCAGGTTATGAACATCATGAATATAAAGGCAGATAATTATCTTAATAAGAAAAACAACAATTATAAAAATTAAAGCAAGAAAGAGAAAATTAATTAAGAGAAAGACTTACTGAAAATCCTAATCAAAGCATAAGATCTATAGGATCAATTAATTCTCAATCTATTACTAATTTACCCTATAATAAGTAATAAGGCAGATTTTTAAATGGAAGAATAGATTTAGATAGAGAAAAAGTATCATGGGCAAAACTTGAGAATTTAAATCCAAATGATTTAAGTGGTCATGGTAGAAATTTTAAGCCTCAAGATTTGATTGATGAATTTGAAGATGAAGAAGATAGGTAATTTTATTTATAATTATATTTAGATTCTTCTTAAAAGAATTCTCACTTGAAGAAGATAAAAAAAATCAATTAAAACCTGAAGAAGTTTAAAAAAATTTAGAAAAGTATGGTGCTTATAAACCTCCAAAAAGACCTACTTAAAAACATTAAATGAGCCAACCTTAACTATTAAACCAAAGATATGATTAGAAAAGCGTTGATATGAAAAATTAGTACTTGTAAAGAGCTAATCAAATTTAGTAACTACAAAATAAAAAAGAGTAATAACTACTCTAAAAAATAAATAAATAATATAAAATTTGATTATTTTTAAAATAATTATATTTATTTAATTTTATATTCTTATATTAATGAGGATAAAGATAAAATTAATACTATCATATTGGTATTTTAACCTAACTTATTATTTAATGATTATAAAAATCAATATTTATAATTTATAAAATGTTCTAATTAAAACAATTTATAATTTGAATATCAAATTGATATTAAGATATTGATATAATTCAATTGAAAGATTCATTTCTTTTTAAAATCAGGTGATTTATCATCAAAACTGGCATCATTATCAGAAAAAACATTTCCTACAGGTTATTCTTCAGAATCCTCTTTTTTGAATAGAGTATTTTTGAATGTTTTAATTTATTCAGTAGGAGGCTTATCACCTTAATTAATTAATGAACTCAATATATTTTTAGCCTTAATTTATTTCTTTGATGATTTGGTTCCTCCAAAAAATTATTCTAGTTCATCTTCAGAATTATAATTATAAACATCAGAATCAGAATGATTTTCAAGTTTTTCATTTTATATTTTGATCTTTTCTTAAAGCTATATAACACTTGTATCTGAATTAATTGTAAGTTATCTTGACATCTTATTATTTTATGAATGAATTGAATCCTTCATCATAGATCTTTATGCATCTGATAATTATTATATTCCACTATCTCCTTCATGAATATTTTCTATAACAACTTTATCTTCTTCTTCAGAACTTCCATAACCTCCATTTTGTACCCTTTATATTTATTTTTCTAATTTCTTTTTTCTTTCTTCTATTGCTATTAAAGCCAATTATTTATGATGTTCTATAAAATTGTTTATGTCAATATACGTTGGAGTGGTCTTTGGATTTTTATTTGATGTCTCCCTTACAGCTATACAATTTCCCATTATATATAAATTAATGAATTACCCTTTTAATCCATCCCCTTCATATTCATTTAGTGTTGCTAAAAAGTACCAATAATTTAAGTCCATAGAATACAATCACACTTTTTGTTGCCCTAAATTAGTATGGGGCCAGGTCAATATAATCCTCAAACTGAGAGAAAAGGAGGAACACTTAACTTTGGATCATACAGTTAACGCAAAATGGTATTGGCATAGGATACTTTAACTCCTGGACCCCTTCATTATACAATTAATACTCATAGAAGTTAAGGTGTTTCCTTTGCGAATTCTAAAAAAACTTTATAGAAACCTACTCGAAGTCCTGGGCCAGGGTATTTTTACAAAAAATTAGGCAATATTTACCTATAGAAGAACCTCACAGTAGACTTGGAGGATCTATATCAAGAACGTCAAGAAATAACAATTTCGATAATTAAATTCCTGGAGCTGGTCATTATCCAATTAAATCTACATTAAATAGTCTAGGCTTTAAATTTAAATAATTACATAAGCGAGCTAAGACTGATCATATGAGTCCTGGTCCTGGATCCTATTCAATCTTGTAGGATTCAATGAATCATGGTGTCAAAATGCATAACTCAAAAAGAACTTGGTCATATATTTTAAAAACTGAGACTCCAGGTCCTGGAACCTATTAAAGTGAAAGTTTCATTTAAAACAGAGTCTCATCAAAACATTCAAAAACCTCATCAAAAGAGTAATCAAAAATTCTAAATAAATGCTTTTCATAACATGAATCAAAATAATAATCTAATAAATTAGGAACATTTTCTTAATCTAAAGGGAATCTTGATTCTCATGGAAGTTTAACTTCAAGATAAAAGTTTAAATCTAATCATATCACCTAATAATAAAATATTAGTGATGCTTATAATAGAATGAGGGAATATGGTAAATTAAAAGTAACTTTCACAAAATAAGTTAGAAAAGAGGAATTTCTTGATGAATTTTCTAGTAGTAATCCAAAAAAGATTAGTAGATCTCCAGGTCCAGCTATTTATGCTGATATCAAATTCAAACCTAATACAAAATTGGGTTTTGTACCTACTTCAAAAAAAGGAGAAGTATTCAAACCAAAAGAAGGACCTGGAGTTGGAGAATATTCTAAAATAATACCTTTTGGTAAAGTTTACAATAAACATATAACACCAAAGAGATAATTTTTTAAATTTAAAGACCTTAATTAATTTGATTTTGACTAATGACTAATTCTATATTGATAATTAATATTTCATGATATCATAAATTCAATTAAAGTGGAGTGATTTACAGAAGGGGAACGAGGAGAATGTTCTTGTAAATTACTATTAATGTATAGATTTTTTAATAAAAATATAAGAAATTTCGCTTTTTTTCATTAATTCCAATTGACAGAGGTATGATCTTTTAAGATAAATCAAATATTGGTCATGGAAATTATTTACTTTATTCTAGTTCTACTTCTAACTGTTCATATAATATAATATCTAATTAAAGCCTTAAATAGTCATTTGGATGAAGAGATTAATTACAATTAAGGAGGGTTTGTCTCAAAAAAGTTGATTAAATAGAAGTTTCGTATTTAATAGAAAATAGTATTTTGAAAATAGTTGATATCAAAAATCGAAAAAGAAGTGTAATGGTTTAAACAAAAATTTATAAGTTAGAAGATCTAAACCTTTGTGTTGTAATAATTTCAGGGGTATTACAATTTATATATGATTAATTATATCATTATTTTTAAGTATCTAAACAACTTGGATCAACATATGAATCTCTTTTAACACAACCTAAAGCTACCAATAATTTCTGCATAAAAGTTTCATTTTTTTATTTAACTGTTTATGATCTTATCTCTTTTTTCTAAGAATCAGAATGTCTACTACGACGGTATTGCTACTTATAATCTTGAATGGAATTTTCAGTTTGAGTTTAAAATGTTAAGTTTTACCTGAGAAAAGATTATTAGGAAGTAGCTGTAGATTTAGAGAGATATTAATTTTCTTAATGCATAGTATTACCATTAACTCTAACTCTATTTTATGGGATTGACAACATTTCTAATTCAAATTCATTCTTTTTGAGCCATTTATGATTCAAAATCTATTTTATTGTTAATCTATCTTTTTATTTATATTTGATAAGACCAGTGATTAGATCCTTAACATCAGAACTCAAACTATTATCAATAATTTAGTAGTTGATTTTTACAATATTATTACATTTTTCAATGTCGTTTTTACCTTTGAATGGAGCTTCACCATGTAATAATTCATATAATAGTATTCCTAAACACCATATATCTAGAGTGTGATCATGAGGTCTATCTTCAATCATCTCAGGGGCCATATAATCTATTGTTCCACAAAATGTGCTTCTTTTTTTTGAACCTAAGTTTTCAGCTGACCATCCAAAATCACAAATCTTGACATTATCAGCCACATCTAATAATATATTTTCAGGCTATATCATGTTTAATAGAAATTACTTTGAGATCTCTATGAATTATATTTTATTGATGTAGATAATCAATTCCTAAACAAGTTTACTTAAAAAACTTTAAAGCTTCGTTTTCATTTAATTTTCCTCTTCTTCTTAATAATTAGAATAAAGATCCATGTTCTGCATATTCCAAAATAAGATAAACCTTATCTTTATCTTCAAAATAGTGAAATAATTATGTGATATTTGGATGATTTAATTTCCTTTGTATTCTAATCTCTCTCTTGAGATTTTCAATTGAACAATACTCAAAAATATCTTTCTTATTCATCTAATGATGATAATCAAATGTACTATCTTCATTGCATGTAACTATCCATTAGTTCTATCTTTTACTAATCTAACTGCTCCAAAACTGCCTTTACCAAGTTATGGATAATCATAAATAAGTTCAAACTCTTCTGGACTTCTTTTCATTTATCTTAGAGTTGACACCTTATCACTATATGCAATTTCCTATGAATTTAACATGTTTTAAGGAATACATTAGTTTTTATGTCCAGATGTCCTTGTATATTAAATCAAATTTACCAATCAATATCTCGACATCTTTGAGAACAATAATAGGAATGTTTACAAAAAGGACAATACACTCTATATTTTGGTATTGGAACCATTTATGAGCCAGCCAAATTATATTGACAGTATCGTGAACTGCAAACGTTCATCAAATAATATATTAATATTATGTAATATTCTCAATAAATATAGAAGTATAGAAAATCGACCAGCTCACCAATTCTTAAACCTCAGAGTCTACCATCAATAAATGAATTAAGATTTGCAATGAGAACCAGAGCAGGAAGCGATTAATAACATTCAGTCAAGATTAATTAGGACAGTTTTATTGCTTGTCGATTGTATAAGGAATAATAATGATAGTAATGGCTATTAATTCTTTGCTATTTGTGATGGTCATGGTTAATATGGGCATCTAGTATCATAATACCTTAAGAAAAATATCCCAAGTATAAATCATAAGAATTAGTTATTCTAAGAAATTATCTCAAGGACATGTCTTTGAATTCAGAAGGCATTAATTAAGCAATTATTCGTTCATTCTTGAAAATTAATAAGGATCTATTTTAAACAAATATAGATACTAATTTGGCAGGATCAACTTTAGTATCAATATTGATAAAAGATTAATAAGTAAATTGACATAATATTCTATAGATATTCTGTGCAAATGTTGGTGATTCAAGAGCAATTATTTGTTAAAAAGTAAATACTTGGATGGCCATATAAATAAGTGTTGATCATAAACCAAATAATGGAAAAGAAAGAGCTAGAATTATAAATGCTGATGGTAGAATATCTCAAAGAAAAACATCAGAAGGTTATCCTGCTGGTCCTGAAAGAGTGTATTTAGCATTTTCAGACACTCCAGGATTAGCAATGACAAGAAGTTTTGGTGATAAAATTGCATCAAAAGTTGGAGTAATTGCAGAGCCAGGTATTGATGATTTATATTAAATATAGAGATATTAGAATTTAAGAAAACAAAAGCTCATAAATTTATTGTTCTTGCTTCTGATGGTGTTTGGGATTAATTGACAAATGATGAAGTTATGGATTTAATACTACCTTATTTTAAAGATAAGTAAGTTGAATTGGCCACTGAAAGAGTTGTAAGGGAAGCATTTAATAGATGGAAATAATATTCTATTTTGAGAGATGATATAACTTGCATTGTAATATTTTTATGATTCATATTATAAAAATGTATTTAATAATTTCATTAATTAAGTTATATGTTAATTCCTTTATTTTGTTTCATCTTAATTATTGAACTTACATAAAGCTTTACAAAAAATAATATTTAAGAAGTCATTTTTGATGCAAATAATTAATGGCAACAATCAATAAATAATATCTAGCAATCAATTTTTATAGTTAAAAAATTAGACACAAAATATTGTTATGTAAGAATTAGTCTATTTGAAAATGATACTAATTTTTTATTAATGGCAGATTATTAATAAACACCATTTTATAACCTGATTTATAATTATAAATAAGGAGAAAAGATAGATAGAATTAGGTATAAGAAATATTAATTATATTCTATTTAAGCTAATTAGAAAATAGGTAAACCAGGTTTCTTAAATTGAAATTAGGAATGGGAGATATTTATATATTAGCATCATCTAATAATGCTAATTAATATGTAATTACTATTAATGGGAGTAATGAAGAATAATGTGATAATGATTGTAATTAAAATGGAATTTGTACTGTATAAATCATTATAAAATAAGGCCAATGGTTGCAGTTGTTATAATAATTTTATTGGGAATGATTGTAATCAAATTGCTCAAGAATTATTACTTGAAACTTAAAAAGCATTAACTTTTCCAACTTCATACTTAATTACTTTTTTCTATATAGATCTTGAACCTATAAAAGAATAAACATTAAGACTTCATTTTAGTTTGCCTGAAAAATATTCTGAAGAACTCAAATATTTAATAGAAGTAAGGTTTTATAGATCAAAGGCTCTTATAAAGTAGTTTTTTAATTAGATGCATTATTATGTTGAATCTTTTTTTATTGAAAACAAAAATCTAACCATAACAATTAGAATTCCATCTAATTTAACTGCTTAGTATCGAATTTTATAGTTTGCAATTTTAAAAGAATAAATTACTGTTGATTCTTTATAATTAAAAATTGATACTGATTATGAGGAAGATGATAATGAAAGTGATGAAATTAGTAGATTACTATATATTATTATCCCAACAGTTGTAGGTTCAATCATAATATTTCTTCTTATAATTTATTATGTGAAAAAGAGAAAAAATTAAGCAGCTAATTATTAAATACCTGCCCCAATAAATAATATTGTTAATGAACCAGAAAAATGTGGAATATGCTTAGAAGAACTTAACATTAAGAATACAGCAGTAGTCAAGATTCAATGCGAGTAAATAAAATAATCTTATTAAGTCATCAATTCCATCTTCATTGCATTTAAGATTGGGCTAAAAAATAAATGAACAAATAATCTGATTGTCCATACTGCAGAAAACCATTCAATCCAAATGAATTTAAATGATTGTGATAGTGTTTCTGATAATAGTTTAGATTATTTATTACTATTATTAAAATCAACTAAAAACACTTTTCAATTTAAATTCAATAGAAAAGTTATGTAAATTAAGTATTAAACTAATCATAAATGATTTATGTTATTTTTCTAATCTCACATTGTCTATCCTCTATTATTGAAGTTAATTTCAATGATAACTCAAAATGGGAAGGTGAGTTTCAAAATTCATCCAACAATACTTTTAGAATCAAACATAATGATTAGGTCTAATATTTTTTTTATATCAAAGTGGAACTAGATATAATAAATCCAAAATTTATGTTGTTGGCTGAAAAGTATTAACCTATTTCAAATCCATTTTCACCAATCCTCAAAGATGGAGAAAATGTTGATGCAACAAAGTAATAACTTCCCATAATTCTTTAGTCAATATGAAAACAGATAAATAAGATTTCTCAAAATTGCATCTTTTGATTAAAATATTTATGTTACAACAATAGGTAATGATGATGGATAAAGGTATAAAATATCAATTGTAAAAACAAAGAATTCTTCCATTTGTTAAAATGATTGTTCAGGAAATGGCATTTGCTAGGTATTATTTGATCTATTAAAGGAACAAGGATGTTTTTGTGCAATGAATTAAACAGGAATTGATTGCAGTTACTTTGCTACACCAATAATTGATAAAATTTCAATAATTGAAAACTAAAATGAAAAAAACTTCTTTACTTTCTTTACTTTACCTACATCTTCCCTTGAAAGTTAATAATTCATTCTAAAATTTAAAGTAATTTACTCCTTTTTAGTTTTAGACAAATAATTCTATAGGTTTATAAATTTTATTTTATAAGACATAGGCTATCATTAATCCTTTTGAATAGCTTTCATTTAATCCAAAATTATGTGATATATTTTAAGTTTCTAAAAATAAAGATCTAGAATTACTTTTAATGGTACCAGAAACGTTTAAATAAAGATAAAGAATTAATTTTGGAATTAAAACTATTTTTCCTAATTTTATATTGTAAGATTTAGAAATCTCTATAGAAGAATATACAAAAGAGGAAATTATTTATATATCAGATACTATCATAATAATCATTAGTATTAGTTGTGTTGTTTTTGTATCCTTAATTATAGTATTCTGTTGTTATAAACATTATTAAAGAAAATAATTACAAAGAAGAATGATGATGTAGAATTAAGAAGCTCTTCATTCAGGATAAGATAATCACCCTATTATACCTTAATAGATTTAACTTGAAGAAATTTGTTAGAAAAACTTTTTATAAATGTTATCTTCAAAAGAAATCAATCCAGATGAATATTGCTCTATTTGTTTAGAACCTTTAAAATCAGCTTTAGAAGTTAGATAAACAAGATGCCAGTAATTATTATTAGTTATTTTTTTAGTCATAATTTTCATACTTAATGTATAAATTTATGGTTAGAGAAAGCCAAACATGAATGTCCTATATGTAGATAATAACTTGAACTTAAAGCATAGGATGAAATTATAAGAACTTGAAGAAATTTATAAATATTTGTAAAACTATATAATTGAAATAAATGCATTTATATTTATTATGCATCAAAATATTAGTTTTTTTTTATTATTTTATATTTATAAGATAAAAGATATTCATTATCTTCTATCAAATTTTTCTAACTTTGCTTCTTTTTCCTTAAATTCTCTTCTTTCCTTTTCATATTATTTTTCATTAAAAAGTTAACATTGCTAAAATTCTCCAACTTACTATAATGTATTTTAAATCTATATCAGATCATAATCCTAATTAAATTCAATGTAAATATATTTATAATGGATTATCCTAAAAGCTGATAATTCATATTGCTATTATTTTAAAGCATTAATAATATTATCAAAAGCTTACTTTTAAAATTATATTCTTTAATTCCTTTAGATTTATTAATTATTTCTATCTTCTTCTGGAAATTTAATATAAATAATAAATTTTTAAGTTACTTTAATATCTTCAACAGTGTTCAAATTAATATTGTAATTGCTTTTAAATTAATTTAATTTATTTTTTTGATTTTATAAATCTTATTATGTAAAATCTTTTGTCAAATTTATAAATATAAATCCAGTCATATAGGCATCAAAACCTGCAGTATGATAAGAATCTTTATCTAAATCAACATCTATTTAAATATAATTCATATTATTTTTTATGAATTCAGCTAAATTTTCAACAGAAGTAGATATCTCTAATTTACTTCTAATTTTTTCTAATGGTTATGCTGATTAAATAATATATTTTGTATCATATATTGTTGGCCAATTTTTAACAATATCTTCCTTAAATTATTCCCAAGATATTGGAGGACATTAAATAAAATGACTATAACAAAACATAATATCTGCAAAACAATTATGTCCTACCATATACTTTTTAGAATTCAATATACATTCCCATATTTAATAAAATCCTGTTTTTGTTTAAAATCTATTTGTTTTTAATAAATATTTTTCTTCATCTTTTGCCTACTTTTCAGCATTTGTTAATTTTGTTATTTTCATTTCTCCTTTCAATAAAGATTCTCCAATCATATTTTTTTAATATGCTTCTAAATAAGTATATATAACTTTCCTTTAATATCCATTTGCTGTTTCTATTGTTATCTATTTCTCATCTGATTTATTGAATTTTTCTAATCTATCAATTAACTCTCGAATCTATATAATTAATTATATATTTTACTGTTTTTTTATCTATTGGTTTAACATCATCTAAGATTTTTTCAAATTGATTCTTCAATTCCTCTTAATCTAATTATTGGAAATCTTTGTTATAATCATCTTGAAGCTTCTAATATTGTGCCCTATTTTAATAACCTATTCCTTTATTAATCCATCTATTCCAATCCATACCATGCTCACTATTAAAAAATATGGCTCCTACTTATAAACCCACGAAGTCATCTAAACTAATAATTAGAATATTTTCTACTCTTAAGGAAACAAAAAAAATGTATAAGGAAATGCGACATACCCTTTTTATTTTTTGATGAAAATGCACAATCCAAATTGAATGATATTATATTTCATACTTACTTTTCGTGTCTATATGTCATTAAAAATACCTTTAAATATCTTTCAAATGGTAATTCTTCAAATGTATCTTAATAATCTCCTTTTATTCCAGTTAACTCAAGATCAAAACCTAGAAAGTCACATAATTTTATTTGCTCCATTATTGTTTATTTGTTTTGCTCAAAATTATCAATGTCGATATACATTCTTAATATATTTACTATTATTAATTATATGAAATCATTTCTTAAACAATATCTAAACAATCCCTTTTCTTTTATCATTAGATTTAATTGCCAATTCATCTATAATTTCTTCCTTTTCTTTTTCTTAGAATTCCAAAAATTAAAACAATGTATTAAGTATTGCCTCTGCTAAATCATAATTGAGATGTTTTGGCCCACAAGCAATTAAAAACTTTTTTAAACAATCCCTCAAATGAGCCTTAGCATGAACAGCTTGAGGATCAACAGAAGTCTTTTACATAGCCATCATCTTATGTTTATACTAAAATATTCTTTTCAATTACATCTCTGGCTAAATTATTTAATTGTAATATTTGTTCCTCTTTTGCAGCTATTCTTTCTAACAAAATTTAGAACTTACCAATAATTTTCACATTCTCTTCATTAGCTACTTCTAATTTTGATTTCAAAATATTAACCTCTTCAGTATGTGATAATTATTATTTATTTGAAGTTGAATGCTATATATAATAAATTATTAATATATACTTCTTTCTTATTTTTATCATTATTTACAATAGCAGATATATCTAAATCCCCAATAAATTCACTAATATCATTTTCATTGATTTCTACCTATTGTTCATTTGATTAAAAACTAATATCTTCATTTTTCTCTTCTTTTATATTACTTAATGCTGTTTTAATTGGTAATTTTGCTTTCATAAACTAAATATCTTTTTAATAGCTCAATAAACTGTTTTATTCTTACTGGGATAATTTAAGCTATAAATAATCTCAATTCTTATACATAATTCTAAGCATAAAAGATAGCCTATTAATTTTTTAGTAATTCATCCATTAATGATTATAAACATTAATAATAAGTAAACTTTCTCTCACATTATTTTTCATGTTAAGATTTAAATTATCTTAAATAATCAAGAATATTATCTTAATTAAATAATGACTTTATTTCATTTAAAATAATTTAACTTTAATCTGCTTATAATTTATTAATCTAAATTTATTTTCCTTATAATTCATTTTATAATGCAGAAATCTAAGAATCTTTTTAAACTATTAAAGCATCTATTTCATTTACTTTGTTCTAGAATTATGCTTTATCATTATCTTTATCATTTTTTAACTATTTTATTTCTTCATTTTTTTCATCAATTTATTTAAGTAACTAAGTTTCTTTTAGTAAATTTTGATTTTACATAACTTCAAACTCATTTCTTAAAACTGAAATTTCTGCATCCTTCTAAGATAATTATTTAATTCCTTCATTATCCTTTTTATTATGCAAAGAATTCTCTTAATCTTTTAAAGCTTCATTTTCATTTTATAGTGTTAAAATTTCTCCATCTTTATATGCAAATAATTTCAATGCTTCATTTTCCCTCTTACTATAATTTGCTATATCTATATCTTTTTAAATTATAACTTCCTTTAATTAATCAACTTACTTTCTCAAAGCTGAAATTTATGAATTTAAATTATCAATTTAAGAATTTAGTCTTTTTTATTCTTGTTGTAGTAAAGATTCTGAATCTTTTAATTATTAATCTAATTATTAATATTATTATTCTTTTAATATGTAATTTTAATTTAAGAGATTTAATTTATTATCTAGTTCTATTTTTTAATTATTTATTTATTATTTATTTTTAATTTCTTGTTACAATTCTAATTATAATGATTGTATATCTTATTATTATTAATTAATTTGTGACTCTAATTAATTATTTTATTGT